CTTTCATGCAGAAACTCCTCACATCTTAGCATTTGACGAGACCAGTGTGTTTATTTCCGGGGAGAAGGAATTGAAATCTGGGGAGAAGGGACTTTCCTTAGGACTCACAGCTCCGTCCTGGGGACTCTGTCTCTGGCTGGCCTGGGAAGAGAAGGTTTGTGAGCATCCGCTGTATGTCGGCCACTTGGCCAGGCGTGTCACCTTGGTTTACTCCCAAGCCGAAGTCCATTATTATCCCCACCTTACAGGCGTGGAGACTGAAGCACAGAGAGGCAAGTTGCTTGCCTAGGACTACGCAGTCAGTAATGGGCCGTCAGGCTCCTGAGAGCTAGGGCCTCCCACTGGGGAGGGAGAGGCCCATCCAGTGATGATGTGGCATTGGGGACCGTGGCTCTGCTCTCCCCTCCACCCCTGCCGCGGTCTTGGAGCCCTTTGGGAGATCAGGTTTCCTTTCTGTCTGTGTCCAGGACCGTAGGAGGGCCCTGTGGGTGAGTGTCACCTCCCAGGGCACCTGCTGGAGCCAGTGGCAGCAGCTCCGCTTGTGTGGCCTCAGCCTCAAGTGCCAGGAGTGGCTGGGGGCCAGAGTCCTTGAGGTCCCTCCTTTTCAAGTTGTTTTGTTCATGCGTCTGTTTGTTTGTCCACTCATTCACTTATCCAGTGTTAATTCAGCACACTGTACTGATGCCTGCAGTGTACAGACCCAGTGCTGGCCAAGGGTGGCCAGGAATGTGACAGACGTCTGTCCCCAGGAGCTCACAATCCTGTGGGGTAGGCAGGTGGTGGAGGGAGCACAGCCAGAGCAGCGTCTCCCCCCACCTTTGCTTCAGGTTTGGGTGCAGAGGACTGGCAGAGGTGGGGTGAGGGGAGCTGCGTACCCTAGTCTTTCTTCTGTCTGAGGTCCAGCAGTGCTTAGAGGCTCAGGGGTCGCTTGTTGTCCAGTCCAGGCCGTTCGTGGTGGTGGCTCAACAGCCAGGCCCGGAGAGGGAAGGGACTGCCCCAGGCACAGTAAAGCCAGCAGCCGGGCCAGGACCAGGGCCTCGCCTACACCCCAGCCGCACGCACTGTGGAAGTGGCAGGGACTGAAGGAAGGGAAAGCTGTGCCTTTGGATGAATCAGAAGCAGCCCAGAGTTTCCCGGGTGTGTCTGGCGGGCCAAGCGGTTGGCAGATTTTCATCACACCTGAATGTGTCATGATCACGTCTTCCACTTTCCCCAAAACCCTACACCTTGGGCCAAGGCTCTGCTTACCCGACAGAGGCCCCGGTTGCCAGAAGAGCCCGGGTGAGGCTCCCTCCTGGATCCGGATAGTTAGGCCCGCGTAGCGCCGTCCCACGCCCCTGGGACGGGATGCACCAGCTGTCGGTGTAATTAAGGTTGCCATAAAACCCACCAGCTAGACACACAAATGGCTCCTCTGCTCTTTCCCGGGGCCTGAGCAGTTGTGAAGGCAAGTAAATCATGCTCGGCGGCGATCACTTCAAAGGTCAGCCTTCCACTTACAGCAGCGTTGTTGGCAGGGATCACCTATAACACGTTGTTTCCCTGCCATTCGATTTTATGACCCCCTAATGAATTGGGCCATTTCCATCCATTCTCAGGAAACGTATAGAACGACGGTTTTCGTGCTCCTGGAAAAGTTTGTCTTGGGAGGGAGGTGGTGTGTCGGTGGGGCACGCAGGTAGTGGTGCTGCGGACCCCTGGCCCTTTGCTTCTCTCTGGGCCTTCTCGCTGCCCCCTGGGAGAAGCTATCTCCAGTGTGGTCATGAGATAATTTATGTGAAACTCCCTGCCAGTGGCTGGAAGTTAACGGGGGCTCAGTGAGTGGAAGGGAGGGCCCCCGTCTTCTTCCATCCTCTCCTGGGTCGGGGCGCTTCCTGAGCGCCCGTGGGGATCAAGGTGCCACTGGGGCTGTGGTGCAAAGGCCTGAACCTGCTCTCGCTCCTGCAGGGAGCGGGGAACTGTCCGGTGCGAGTGGGTGCCCACCAGCGGCTGTTCTGTATGGGCTGGGGGGCTCTGGGGCTGCTGTGTGCCCCCCACCACAGGGGAGGAGAGGCGCCTCAGTGCACAGGCCACATCTAGGGACACGAGGTGGCCAGACCACTCCTCTCTCGGCGTTTGCTGCTCTGGACGTCTCTGATTCCCTGCTCCTCACCTGAGCTTGGTGATGGACAGGGCTTAGGGAAAAGGGGGAAGGAAGGCCTTCAAGCTCCACGCGGCCCAGACAAATGGAGGCCTGGGGGCACTGGTGGTGTAAGTGTGGGGAGACTGGAATGGTGGCAGGGGTGAGAGGAGCGGATGGATTTGGAGCCAGTAAAGAGATTGGTCCAGAGCCGTGATGATGGGGCATTGTTCCCTCCCCCGCCACCACCAAAGTAGGTTCCAGACACCGCCTTGGGATGGCGCTGTTCTTGTGAGTTGGAATGTTGTGCAGACTCATCAGAGCAAATGTTGGGCGCACCTTCCATGGTGTGCCACGCCCCCTCCCAGGCCCTAGACTACTGCCCCAGCCCCTGTCTGGGCAGGCCGGAGCATCTCGTCAGCAGCACAGCTGCTGTGCCCCTCTTGGCTGGAGGTGTGGAGCTTTCCTCCCAGTGCACACTCTGTGAGACTCAGAGCTACCCTGGGAGGGCAGAGCCGGCGTGTGGAATCCTGGTGCGTGGAGGGAGGGAGGGAGGAAGGCAAGCAGTCCCTGCTACCTGGGGAGCAGCACATAGGCTGGCCAGTAAGGGGCAGCCCGTCTCCCTGCCCTGTGTTCAGAGGCCTGCAGGGCTGCCCTCTTTCTGCCCCTGGACCATTCCTCAGGCTTCAGGGGCCCACCCTGAAATTGCCCTAGCTGGGGGCTACTTCTGAAGAGGCTCAGAGAGGAGTAGTCATTTGTTGCCCACCCTCCCCCAGGAATTTGTCCCAGCATTTACTGAGGCAGGAACTGGCCAGCAGGAGATGGGGATGTGGGCCCCAGGGCAGCTGGGGCAGGGAGAGGCTCCACCACACCCTGGCTGTGCGACTTCCAGCAAATCCCCCCATCTCTCTGAACCTCAGTGTTCCTCATCTGGAGAATGGGTCCCCATATACCCCCTGTCTAAATTGGATTTATGAAGTGCTGCATTTAATGTGAATGTGACTTATGTACATTGAAAGAGGATGATAGAAAATATGTCTGCACCGTTTAAAAGGTTGTGAGCTCCCGTTTTTAAAAAATTTGTCAAGACGGCTTGTTTCATAGCCAACAGGCTGAGGTACCAGAGAACTATGTGTATGCTGTGGCCACATGGTGGCACCCTGGGAGCTGGTAAACAGGCTGGCCAGGCCCGGCAGGCAGGCCCGAGGCGCTGGCGGCCTGTTGTTTGTTGCTCCATATTGCAATTCAAAGATCTGTCGTCCATAAGTTTTGGTTTTCTTTTTTCTTTTTTGGAAATTAACCCATTGTCAGATATATGATCTGCCAATATTTTCTCCCAGTTGGTGGGTTGCCTTTTTGTTTTGTTGATGATTTCCTTTGTCTTCAGAAGCTCTTTAGTCTGATGTAGTCCCACTTGTTTATTTTTTCTTTTGTTCCCCATGCCTGAGTACACATGGTATTCAAGAAGATACTGCTAGGACCGATGTCAAAGACTATACTGCCTCTGTTTTCTTCTAGGAGTTTTATGGTTTCAGGTCTTACATTCAAGTCTTTAATCCATTTTGAGTTAATTTTTGTGTATGGTGTAAGATAATGTTCTACTTTCATTCTTTTGCATGTGGCTGTCCAGTTTTCCCAACACCATTTATTGAAGAGACTTTCCTTTCTCCGTTGTATGTTCTTCGCTCTTTTGTTGAAGATGAGCTGTCCCTAGATGTGTGGTTTTGTTTCTGGGCTTTCAATTCTGTTCCATTGATCTGTGTGTCTGTTTTTGTGCCAGTACCATGCTGTTTTGATTACTATAGCTTTATAGTATATTTTTAAATCAGGGGGTGTGATACCTCCAGCTTTGTTCTTTTTTCTCAGGATTCCTTTAGCTATTCGGGGTCTTTTGTTGTTCCATATAAATTTTAGGATTCTTTGTTCTATTTCTGTGAAGAGTGTTGTTGGGATTCTGATTGGGATTACATTGAACCTGTAGGTTGATTTTGGTAATATGGACATTTTAACTATGTTTATTCTTCCAATCTTTGAGCACAGAATATCTTTTCATGAGTTAATGTTAAGTGGAGGTACTTGTTAGTTCTGGTACTGGGATCCCTCCACCCCATCTCGCCCCCCTACTCAAGCCAGTTATTTTAGAATAGAAGGTGAATGTGATAAAGTGCTCTGAAGAAACAGAACAACCGCTTGATACTTAATCACGTTAGTTCACAAGATAGGAAGCAATGGAATATTGGCACTGATGCTAAGAAATAAAAAGCGTCTTTAAAGCTAACCTGCGTACTCTGGTTCTGGCTTTATGGTCTCCAAGAACACTTGCTCCTTGTGATAGAGTTACTGCTCCAGGGACAATAGGCTGGGACTTTGTGAGCTGTGAATTATGTGAGGTCTTCAGAAGCAAGACCCTCTCACAAAGTATGGCCCCAGTATTGATGAGCATCACTGATACCTGTTAGCTGCCCTTGACTAGCCGTGGGCCCTTCCCTAAGCTCACTTTCATTGGTCACCAGCTGCTCTCTTGGGGACCATTCTAACTGGGGAGATCATCACGTCTTCCTGGGCCCCCGCACCAATGGATGTGGCGTGGGTGTGGGAGGGGGAGGACCCTCCGTGGGGAGGGGCATTAGGAAAGGCTGTGGGAGATATCATGGAGCAGGTCCCCAGGGAGACAGACATTTGCCTGGTGGGGTGGGAGGGCCCCAAGGTCTCCCTGCACCATCCCCCAGCTCCACAGCTAGGGCTGCTCAGCCTGGGGGCACGTTGCCCAGCAGTGCCCTCATTAAACCCACCTGCCCTCTGGGTGCTCAGCAGCCCTCCCCGTGGGTGCCTGCCCTGTACTCCTGAGGCCCACCAGCATGATGGGTGCCCACTTTTGCAGGTGGTAAGAAGCTACAAGGCGACCATCCAGCAGACCTTGGACATCCTCTTCCTCCAGGAAGGCTCCGAGTTTCTGAGCAGCACAGATGCTTCTAGCCGGGACTCCGCCGACCGCACCATTATCGCCTGGGATTTCCGGACCTCCGCCAAAATCTCCAACCAGATTTTCCATGTGAGAAACCCTGTTTGGCATTGCTTTCAGTTTCAGCCCCAGGACACATCCGTGTAGCCCCAGGCTGTCTGGGATCCTGGGTCACTTCCTGTGGGAGACGGTTTAGCAGGCAGGATCTTTGGAGACAGATTGGCTGCCTAAAATCTCTAGGGTTGGGGAAGGTGAAGTACAGGTCCTCCACCCAGCACAGCCACCCCACACGGTTAGGGTGTGGAGGGGCAGGCCAGTCCAGATTGATGGGAAGATGGCCCCACAACCCAAGATACTACTACCCTCCCTTTGCCAGCCCAGCCAGCCCACGGGTTTCTGCCCTGCCCTTTGGCAAGGGCTGTGACACAAGAGTTCAAGCAGGGGCTCTGAAGTTAGACCACCTGCATTAAAGTCTTGGATTCACCACTTACAAGCTGGGGGCCCTGAGCACATTATTTAACCTCTTTGATTCTCAGTTCCCTCTTAGAAAATTGAGGATGAGAATATTACTTGAGTGTTTTTGAGAATTAAGACATAATGCTTATAAAGGGTCTAGTACAGTGCCAGGCACAAGGTGCTCCATAAATGCACTTCCTATCATCACCATCACCACTATCATCACCACTACCACCATCATTTTCACTATCACCATCACTACTACCATCATGACCATCACCATCATCATCACCACCACCATCATCATCATGACCACCACCACCATCACCACCACCACCATCACCAGTGTCATTTTCACCATCACCATCTCTACCACCATCATGACGATCACCACCATTACCTCCACCATCATCACTACCACCACCATCACCACCACTGTCATCATCATCGCCACCATCATCATGACCACTGTCATGACCACCGTCATCACCACCATCACCACCACCACCACCATCACCATTTTCACCATCACCATCACTACCACCATCATGACCATTGCCATCACCACCACCACCATCATGACCACCACCATCATGACCACCACCATCACCATTGCCATCATCACCAGCATCATTTTCACCATCACCATCACTACCACCATCATGATGATCACCACCATCACCTCCACCATCATCACTACCACCACCATCACCACCACTGCCATCATCGCCACCATCATCATGACCACCATCATGACCACCACCACCATTGCCACCACCACCATCACCAGCATCATTTTCACCATCATCACCACCACCATCATCATGACCACCACCATCATGACCATCACCATCATCACCACCATCACCATTGCCATCATCACCACCATCATTTTCACCATGACTGTCACTACCACCATCATGACAATTGCCATCATCACTACCGCCACCATCATGACCACCACCATCACCACCATCATTTTCACCATCACCATCGCTACCACCATCATGACCATCACCATCACCATCACCATCACCATCACTACCATCATCGTGATCATCACTGTCATGACAATCATTATCACCACCATCACGATTATTATCACCATCATCACACCACCATTGCCATCATCACCACCAACATCATCACCACCACCACCATCACCACCACCATCCTCACCAGCTCCATCCTCACCACCACCATCACCACCATCTTCACCATCATTGTGACTACCACCGTCATGACCATCACTGTCATGACAATCATCATCACTATCACCATCATCATACCACCATCGCCATCATCACTACCACCATCATCACCACCATCATCTTCATCATCGTCATCACCATCACCATCATCATCACCGTCACCACCACCATCATCATCACTACCATTATTATCTTTTATGATTTCTGATAAGCTATGGCTAATCTCTTTGGTGCTCCCACCCTGAATTTAAAAATATATATTTGTTGTACATATACAGCTTCCCCTTCTCCTTGCTTTTCCCTTGTTCTCAGAGGGTTCTAAGTGACCCTGAGCAGACTTGCCTCTAGACCTTCACTTCAGGGTTCCAGTGCAACCCACTGGGAAGGACAGGGCCCAGGGGGCCTGGAGGGACATGTCTGGCCGCCAGGGAGTCCTGGCTCCAAAAGCCACTGCAGAGACCAGGGGAAGTGAGTGAGGTGGGTGAAAGTGCTGTGTGCCCGAGCTGTCAGCCCTCTGAGAATCACACCTCCTCATTTTCTGTGCAGGTGGGAGGTGCTCTGCCTGGTTGCATCCCTCTGGGGAGCTCATCCTTGGGCCGCCATGGCCTCCATGCCTCCGGTGGGCACATTAGTTTGCAGCCGTGGTTCTGACTGCTCCCCACTTTGCCCTCTGAGTTGGGGCTCATTTAGAGAGTGTGGCTTAAGGACAACACTTAGAACATGGAAGGAGAGGTGCAGTTGAGAAGGGAGTTTTTATGGGTATTTCTGTGTGACCAAGCCTATCAGATGGTGAGATTTCCCTGCCTGTGTTTTGAACACTTGGTTCATGCATTTATCTTCTCCCATGGCTATTCACCGCCTCACTTGCTGTGTGTTTTGCTGTGTGGGACCCTGGGCTGGGCTGGGGCTGCCCTGAGGGCTCACTGTGGAGGTGGGGAGATGGGCACGTGGATTCGTTTTCCATTGCTGTGTAACAAATGGCCGCAACTTGGTGGCTTAAACCAGCAGAAGTTTATTCTCTCACAGTCTGGAGGCCAGAAGTTTGTGGTCAGTATCACTAGGCTGAAGTCAAGGCGTTGGCAGGGTGTGCTCCCTCTGGACGGTCTGGGGGAATCTGTCCCTTGCTTCTGCTGGCTTCTGGTGGCTGCCGGTGATACTTGGCTTGTGGCCACATCTCTCCAGTCTTCACGCCAGCATCTTCGCACCTCTCTGCACTCCGTCTTCACGCCACCCGCTCTGTGCGTCTGATCTCCCTCTGCCTCCCTTTTATAAGGATACATGTCATTGCATTTAGGGCAGTAATACAGGATAATCTCCCCATCTCAAGATCCTTAACTTAATTATATCTGCAAAGGCCCTTTAAAATATTTTTGTGGCATGTAAGGTGACATTCACAGGTCCCAGCAATTAGGACATGGATATATTTGAGGGGGCATTTTTCAGTCCACCTCAAGGGCCGTGAGCCCAGGAGTGCAGGTGGCTCCTAGAAGCTGGACAGGATGAGGAAACCGAGTCCCCCCAGAGCCTCCAGAGGGAACACAGTTCTGCTGACGCCTTGGTTTCATCCCAGTTAGACCCATTTCAGACTTCTGACCTCCAGAACTGTAAGATAATAATTTTGTGTTGTTTTAAGTCACTGAATTTGTGGCAGTTGTTATGGCAGCCACAGGAAACTCATCCAGACCCCTAGGACAAGGTCCAGGAGGAGGGCACAAGCCCCTACGAGCCGAGTGCTGGGTGGCGTGTCTGCCAGAGGCACGAGGCCCGCTGGGAGCCTTCTCCACCCTCTCTGTGGCCCCGCTGTTTCCCAGGAGAGATACACCTGCCCCAGCCTCACCTTGCACCCACGGGAGCCTGTGTTCCTGGCGCAGACCAATGGCAACTACCTGGCCCTCTTCTCTGCCGTGTGGCCCTACCGGATGAGCAAAAGGCGGCGCTACGAAGGGCACAAGGTACCCCGTCCCTGTGCCCCGGCTGGAGAGCTGAGCACTGGCCCCAGAGCCTCCTGCCGGACAATGCCAGCAATGGACTTGGGGCCCCAGAGTGCACGGACCCTTTGTCCGGGCAGATTCTGTTTCCTGTTTCACAGGTGACCATATGCCGTGTGGTCTGGTGTCCACTCAAGGCCCAGGGCCATCCCCTGGTGGCCCTACCCCAGGCCCCAGCTGTTGGCAGGAAAAATTTTCCCTGATTCGCTGGCTCTCATGGACAGGTCACAGGGGTGGGGGAGGGGGCAGGACAGAACGGGGGTGGGGGCCATGTCCACATCTGCCCCCTTTCTCCACTGAGGCCTGCCTCACTGGGCCAGAGGGGACCGGGGACTCTCCGTGAGCCCAGACACCCTCAGCTGTGCTGGAGCTCTTCCACCCGGCTTCCACTAAACCAGCCTTGTGAAACAGGGTCCATGCCCGGACCCCGGCCTCGTGGGAGGAGCTGGGGCTTTGGCCTTGGGGCCGCTGGGTGTGAAGCCAGCTCTCCTGCTCCCCTGCTTCGGGCCTCAGCCTGCTCTTCTGTAGAGTGGGCGTAGTAACCCCGCCTCACAGGCGGCCTCGGGGAACGGGTGTGGCCTGCTCACCCTCTGTGCTGTTCTCTGTAGGTGGAAGGCTACTCGGTGGGCTGCGAGTGTTCCCCGGATGGTGACCTGCTGGTGACGGGCAGCGCCGACGGCCGGGTCCTGCTGTACAGCTTCCGCACTGCCAGCCGGGCGCGGACACTGCCAGGGCACGCACAGGCCTGCGTCGGCACCACCTTCCACCCCGTGCTGCCCTCTGTGCTCGCCACCTGCTCCTGGGAGGGCGACATTAAGATCTGGCACTGAGCACCCAGCGTGGAACCTTCTAGACGCTGGCCGGGCCCCAGGCTCCCCTTCTTCTTTGGAGTGGGTGGGTGTGAGCACGCACTGAGGTTGGCTTGGGGGTTGGCTGCCTCCACCACCCTAAGAGCCTCAGTCTCCTCGTCTGTAAAATGAGGACAGCATCCGTTTGTCTCAGGGTTGTGAGGACCACGTTAGTGAAGGCACTGAGGTGATGCTCAATAAACGTGAGTGTTTGCTGTTTCTCAGGTTGTTTCAGCGACAAATATGTATTGGCAGCTTCCTCTCGCCTCCCCACTCGCAGGCCCACTGGAGCTCTGAGACAGAAAGAATGGTGGGAGCTTGGGATGGGGCAGCCCTGCTCTGCTGGTCCTGACGAGGGAGTCCCAGGGCTGTGGGGGGCTCCGGGGGACTCTGGGTCTTAGGTCTGCCCTCAGGAACTCTGTGCTGGGGCATGGCAGGCCCCGCCAGTCTCACAGGGCCCAGGCCCAGCCTGCTCAGACCCAGGCCCCTCTCACCCTCTGCATGAAGCATGGCCAGCTGGGCCCCTGGGTCTGCCCAAGCCCTAGGGCCCTCTGGGCTTCTTCTTGCCTGGTGCCTGTGGTGTGCATGCTGCCCACGCGCGTGTGTCTGCCCTGGGTGAAGAAGTGATGTGGAGACACAAAGGGCCCTTAAGGAGTTGCGAGGAGTTGGGCTGGGAAGACCCAGCTCCCCGGGGATCTGGGCAGGCCAGTGAGCACTACACCCCATGAGGGCCGTAATTGAGGGGCTGCCCCAAGAGCCCAGGGACCCACTGACAGGCGAGCACATGGTCCCAAATGTCCCCCACGCAGGGCTCCTCAGAGGGTGGAGGGAGTGAGGTCCCCAGGCCCACGCAGGACGCGGGGTCCCAATGACCCTGAATGCCGCCAGGCTGCATGTGGTGGGAGCTCAGAGTGGGATCACCTTCTCTTTTAGGCTCAAGAGTGGCTGATTTGGTGAAAATAAAGATAATCACATCCCATGCCCAGCAGGCCTGGTCCCTGGCAGAAGTGGAGGCCCCCACAGGGGCTGCCCTGGCCTGAGCAGGGCGGGGGCTGAGCACGCGTCCATTCAGAACCTGGTGCAGGCGCACGTTCCTCCTCGCCCTCACACCGCCACCCTGCCCCGCCTGTGGCTCATGCCATCTCTCACCTCTACCCCCAGGTGACTCCCTGCCACCCCCCCTTGTGTGGCAGCTCTGTGACCTGTGAAGCCCTCCCTGGGTCACTTCTGTGTGAAGCCTTCCCAGATCACGGCTCACTCCACTGTGCGCCCCTGGCACCGCTGTCCCTCTGCTGGCCCCTATCCCCCATTCCCGCGCCCTCCCCCCTCACTCAGGGCTCTGTGCCGACGGTGGGCCTCAGGGAGGCCTCCCCTGACCTCGGTGTCCAATGTGCTTCTGTCACGCTCAGCCTCCTTCTCCCAGGGTGCTTGGCTCCCCTGATGTGGGCCTGAGGGCACAGTCTGGCCCCATTCTCAGAACTTGTCATGTGGGCCAAGGGTTGGCGGGGCCCTCTCCTGTCCTCTCGGGGCATCAGCCTCATCCAGGTTCGCTCTCAGGGCAGAAGCCCCCGCTGAGGGGCGGCCTTCCTCCTCCTTCCCCCACTGACAAGTCTCGGGGAAGGACCCTGACTCACATCTCCCCGGACCAGGGTCCTTGGCCAGGTGTAGCTCCCCACTGCAGAGGTGTGGGGAGAGCGAGGGCCCCCCCACCAGTGTTTTCACGAGGGCGTGTCTCCCCGTGTCCCCCCTGAACAGGCCCTCAGCACACGTGTGTGGAATGAATGAGTGATGTGGGTGAACCAGACACAGGCCAAGTGGGAAGCCTGCACCCGCCCGGGGTGGAGGGGCCTGGCCTTCCCAGGGTGCCTCTCGTCTGCCTTTCCTGCCCCCCTTGCGTCCAGCCCCGGGTCCTGGAGTCCAGACGTCCTGCTTTCTAGTCCCGCCTGAAGCAGGGGTTTTCTGCCCTCCCTGATGGGAGTGTCTTCTGAGTGACATTTCCTGGCATGATTGCTGATTCTTTCCCCACCGGGATACGTTAACATTACCACTCAATGAGCATCGGTTCTAGACTCTCAATCAGGCTTCGGCTTGGGGGCTGGGGCGTGGCGGTGGGACGACCTCCCCATCCACTGGGCTGCCTGGCCCCCTTCCTGTGCTGAGCCCACCGCCCCGGCTGCCCGCCACCCTGTGGGATGTGGAGCCAGGAGCCCAGCTCAGGTCCCAGGCCCATCACCTGCGTGCCCGGGGCCTTTGCAGATCCTTTGCTTCTCTGAGCCTCAGTTTTCTCATCTGTAAAGTGGGGATGAACAGGGGAGACTGCAGAGGAAAGGGCTTTGTAGAGGTTACCTCTGCACCTCACTAGGCAAACATCATCCAAATCTCGGTCCTGGAAGTCCATTTCTTTCCCACGGTCGTCGCCTTGACCCAACCAAAGCTCTGATCCTTGTGGGGCCAGGAGACATCCAGGCGCCCCAGAAACCACAGTGGCTGTTCCTTAGTGCTGCTCCCTGTGGATCTGATTTCTCAGCCCGGTGCCCTGTAGGTGCCGGCCGGCTGCAAGCCCCTCCCTTTTTTAGGTTTTTTTCGGGGACGAATGGCAGGTGGACTCCATGTCTTTATCTGTTTCTTTTTCCAAATGCCTTCTTCCAGAGAGCATTTTTAAAGGCTCACTCTGATCCTCTGCAAGGTGTCTGGGAGTTCACCATTTGCAATTTTAAAATGAGAGAGCTAAATTTAGAAAGTGTGGATCAGGAAAGAAAAGAAGAGCAGGCCGTCCCTCCACCCCCGCCCTGGGGCTGAGGGCCCACCTTTCCCCTCACCTGTGAATCTGAGGTGCAGCTCCAAGCCATCGTGGGAGAACATGGCTTCATCTTGACACGCCAGGCGTGGCTGTGTGTGCCACCAGTGCGTGGCCGTGGCCTCGTCAAGTGGAGCTGATGCTCACAGCCTCCCTGCGAGGTCGCTGCCATCCCCGCTGTCCAGTGGAGGAAACTGCTGCTGAGAGGGCAGAGGACGTGCCTGGGGCTGTCTGACTCCGGAGCCTGTGATCTTCCCGCCCCCATCCCCAGGGACCCACCTCTGGCCTAGCCTGGGGCTCTCCAACAGTGGGACCACCAACTGTCTAGGGGCCCTGGAATCTCCTCAGTCAGTGTCCTCAGGCTCCGGAAGGGGAAACCAGAGGGCCCCAGGACTTGCCCAAGGTCACACGGCCAGCCGGGAGGGAGAGCCCAGCGCTGCACTGCCCCACTGGGGGTACATGGACAGGTAGGCGGATGGTGGGTGCACAGACGGTCCCTTTGGGGGTCAGCAGGATTCCAAGTGGAGGGAGGGGGTGATTGGTGGAGGGAACCCCACACCCGCCGTGGCTGTGGCTGGCTTCGCAGGCCATGGCAGGACAGCTCTGTGAGGTGTGGAGGCCATCTAGGGGGCCTCTGAGGTGACAATGTGGGGGCCATGACCCTGAATCTGAGATGGCCCTCTGGGCCAAGGCTGCGAAGCCCTTGGGGTTCCCAACCCTGCTGCCCAATCGCATGGCCGACACGTGGGGCTTCTCGGGTTCCCCTCTGGGTGAGAGCCCGCTGGGTGGGTGCCCACTGGGTGCCCAGGGATCACATGCTTTTCCCTCCACCCACCTAGTTGCCCCCCCAGTTCAGTGAGGATTGCTTCTCTCATCTTCCCACAGGGAAACTGGACCCCAGAGAGGTGAGCTGACCCCCAAGCCTCTCTGCAGCCCCCTCTGGCTCGGGGAGGCTGCTTCCTGGGGCGCATCTGCTCCTGGGGGCAACCAGGTGGGCTCTGGCCTCTCCCGCAGAGGCAGGTCAAGTGCAGGGATGCTGGGAGCCACAGCCGAGGCCCACCCTCCTTGGGGTTGCCTGGCAAGAGGCAGACCCTGGAGCTACACAAAGCTGGGTGGGCCAGGGAACTTCAGGCATGCTCCCTGGCTGAGGTGGTCCCCAGCGGGAAGTGCCCAGCCCCCTGGAAGAAGCAGACATAAAGCCCCCTGAGGAACCTTGCAGAACCCCACAAGTACATTCTCAAGGGCGACGATGAGCATGCATCCAAGATAACTAGGCACGGGAAGAAACAAAGCAACATGGTCAGGAACCCAGAGAAACAGATCTGCCGGGACCCCACATGATGGGTGGAAGCCCCAGACCCAGACGGTGAACCAGCTGTGCCCATGGTGTGGAAGGAGATAAAAGACAAGCTTGGAAACATCTCCAGGGAACAGGAGACTATCAAAGTAGCACAGTGGATGTGTAAAACCACCACATGGAACTTCTAAAAATGGAAAACATTAATAACTAAAGCTAAAAACTCAGTGGCTGTGCTTGGCAGCTGACTGGACAGCGCAGAAGAGAATTAGTGAAATGGAAGACAAATTATGCAGAGGGAGTGTGATGGAAATGGGGCATATCCAGAAGAGACATAGAAGATGCAGTGAGAGGGTCTGCCATCACTCTGATGGCACTCCCAGGAGGAGACAAGGGAGAAAACTGCAGAGAAAAAAAATAATAGTTGAGAATTTTCTAGAACTGATGAAATACATCAACCCACAGATACAAGACTCCCTGTGAACTCCCAAGAAGGATAACTCCACAACGAGACACGTCTCAGGGAAATACTTTTGCAGAAGCAAAGTCTGAGATGCCAGACAGAATGAGGGAGTAGAGATGTGTGGGAGAAGGTAAAGGAAGGCTGTATGAAAGGCAATCCCAACATCTACCGGTTAGGCAGTGGAAGAATTCAAACCGGACAGGAAGCCAGGTGGGGAACAGAGCATGTTGTCAGGAGCCCCCTGGCCGCAGAGAGGGAAGGACAGGGGAGCACACCAGGGCCTCGTGTCCCTGGGATCAGAAGGCAGTGGGGAGAAGAAACAACCCAAACCCACGTTCTTTCCACTGATGTCTTTTATTAATGAATGCAAAATACAGTACTAACTGAGACAGAGCATGCAAGGCAGACAACAGGAAAGCAAGCTACGGAAACGGGAGTCAGAGGGCCTCATTACGTCTGAGGTAGAGCGAGGTGGTGCCGGGGAGCGGGACACTGGGGGACGAGCACCGGCCCCACTCGGGACTACGGACCACGGAAGAGCTCGGGGGGTGTGTCGGCCACACGGCGAAAACAGTTTAAAACGTTTCACATCCCTTCACCCGTTCCAGTTCCCCTCTTTGTGGACAGAGCTTCGGGGTTCCCTTGTCACTGGCTCACCGGGGTGTCCCCACAGGACACCGTCCTTCCCTCCAAGGGGCAAGCCCCAACTTGCCCTCACCCGAAAAATAAAGGAGCTTTGTGTTGAAAACGCCAAGGCGGCCATCCAGGGAGCTGGAGGCCAAGTGCGTTAAGAAAGACCCTTTTTCTCTATAAAAATAGTTTCACTTTATAAAAGGGGGGAATGCTCATTTCAGGTGGGGAGGGATGCTGGAATGTGAAAAACGTTCTCGGGGGAGTTCCACCGTGGTGGGGCTGGGGACGCGACAACGTGGGGAGGGCTGCTCCTCTCAGGCTCGACTGGGTTAGGTGGACGAGAGGGGTCCTCGCTGGCAGGGCCGGGAGGGTGGGGGCAGGTGGTGGGGGGGGTGTCCCGTGGCCGCGCCTGCGCGCAGGCGCTCAGTTGAGCAAGGTTCCGTAGAGCTGGGCTTTCGTGAGGCTGTCCTTGCGGCTGAGCCCCGCGCCTCCAGTCCGCGGGAAGGCCGGCTGGGGGCTGAGGCGGGCGGCCGGGTGCATCTCCGGGGACGCCTCCATGGAGCTGGGCTCCAAGGAGTCCCTGGAGCTGTGCGGGCTGGGCTCGGGCTCGGGGCTGCCGGC